GAGGACCCGCGAAAGCTGGGACAGCGCCCTGCCTTTCCCAGAGCGATCTGTCCTGGAGCTCCGAGTTAAGCATTTTGGGTCAAAGTGGCCAGCGAGGCGCGGGAGCAGTGGGCCGCTGGTGAGCTCCGGGGCGGAACGGGCTGCCCTTTGGCGCGCGGGGGGCTTCTCGCCGCCCCCTCTGTTCCTGTGTCCCGGCTGCTCTCCGAGGGGGTCCTATCTCTTGACTGGTGAGGGTTCTGCCCCTCCCCGCTAGCATTTGTTTACTTTCTTTCTCTGGGTTGCTTCCCGCTGTTGACTGATTCTGTGCCTGTGTTTCCTCTGCCCCTTATTCTAGCGACAGTGAAGATAGGTCGTTGAGCTGGAACCCCACAGATCACCAATAAAAATGAAGGTAAGTGGAGTCAACTCTCCTCTGAACCTCGTGCCCGGGACATTGCCAGTCGTGAAGCTGGTACCGCGGAATGTCATTTTTTTTTTGCCACTGAAAATTGATTTCCCTACTAAGCAGCACATTCAGAAAACGAGGACGTGTTGAATGGGTGAGAAGTGATCTGTGTCTAAATGCAGTCAGTTCGGCCTCTCTGTGTAGTAGTTAGCACTTTGGAAAGGCTGGTGCAGCCTTTCAATTGTTGTCCATTGGTGTAGTATTTTTAAACACTTCCTGTGTTGGCAGCAACCTTTGCAGAAGTGAACCTTTTGTCTTGCTTTGGTTCTTTGGGGAATTTTTTTGGAAAAAAAAAATTTTTCCCCCAGTGTCAGTGTGATTTTCTAATAGACAGAATGTAGATTGGGTAAGAGAGATATTTTTTCTGGGGATAAAAAGAACTTTTGTGGCTAAAATATTTGAAGTTGAAGTAATGATGCTTAGTTTCTGTTCTTTACAATCTTTATGGCAAGTATTTTAAGACCTATTCATTCTTAAAAGTATATACATAATCTTTAAGTAAGTCATCTTGCAAATATCAGTACATGGATATTTAAAAGGGAAGGAGAGCCTCATGGTATTCTGGAGTATGTGACTATTGAATGTTTAAATCAGATATTTGTCTAAAGGAATCTTCTTCATAAATGTACTGACTCTGGAAGATACTTGATTCCTGTCATATTTACTGTATTATCTGAAATGCAACATTTTCCCAAACTTTTCTTGCTCGCTTCTTTTCTTGAAGTGACACATCTAATCTTCCTTGATATTACTTGGGAAAACTTATTGGAAAGTGAAAAATCATTTTCTGCTTAAAAATAGATCTCAAATACTTTGAGATCTATTACCTTTGCATTTAGCAGCATTGAATTGAACTTGTATGAATACATTTAATTTTTGAAAAAAGTAGACAAAATGACAGATTGAGATAGCAATCATCCTGTTACTGTCAAGATTAAAATGAATGGTGGAACAAAATTTCTCACAGCTTTCAGTGTATCGTTCTGATCATGGCCATTTGCTAAAAGTAGACATTTTTTAGTAAAGCTTTTTTTTTTTTTTTTAAATACCAAGATTAGTGAGGTAAATCAGATATGGCTACAAGTCTTGAGCCGTCAATTCTTACCTCATTCATCAACTGAATTCACACTTAAAAATTTCAAATGCACTTTTAGCCAATGAATTTTTCAAATAATGCTTTATCAAAAGCATTGACTTCATTTCTTACCTGTACAGTTATAACGCTGTACCCAAAAGGATGTTGCTTTTATGTAGCTATACATAAAAATATGTGTAATTAAATGAACATTTAATTATATATTGTTGGTGTTTTGTTTTCTGTTTTTGTTTCAATTTGCGAAAAGTAGCCATTTTTTAGGAAAGCTTTTTTTTTTTTTTTTAAATACCAAGATTAGTGAGGTAAATCAGATATGGCTACAAGTCTTGAGCCGTCAATTCTTACCTCATTCATCAACTGAATTCACACTTAAAAATTTCAAATGCACTTTTAGCCAATGAATTTTTCAAATAATGCTTTATCAAAAGCATTGACTTCATTTCTTACCTGTACAGTTATAACGCTGTACCCAAAAGGATGTTGCTTTTATGTAGCTATACATAAAAATATGTGTAATTAAATGAACATTTAATTATATATTGTTGGTGTTTTGTTTTCTGTTTTTGTTTTTATTTTGAGAGAGAAAGGAGAGGAAAAAGAGCTATTTTTTCGGCAAGGTTTCCCATGGCAATTCTCTGCCTAGCCTCTCAATTAGCTAGGATTACAGGTATGTACTTCCATACCTGACATTTCAGAGAGGTCTGGGATCTGAACCTGGACCTTCTACGTGGCCCCAGACTTGAGCAACAGTGCTCTACTGCTTGCACTGCTGCAGCTGGTCTTGTTAAGTGCTAAATTTAGTAGCATTTATTTCTTTTAACTTCGAAATAGAATTTTCAGAAGGCTATAAATAATTAACTTAAAATTTTGAGACATTAAATGTGAATATGCTTTTTCCCACATTTTCTTATTTTTCCATTTTTTATATAAGTTGTAGAATTCTTGAAGCAGTTTGTATCTGGAGAAAAAAAACGCCATATAATAGTTTCTTGTCTATGATTTCTAATTACAACTTTAAAACCTTTCATGGTGTCAGGATATCAATATGTAAAATGAAATGTTTTTAATAAAGTATTTGCTTTAGGGATTATTTTTCAGATTATCAGTGACATTAAGCAAGTAATTTTAATATTATTACTTTAAATGCAGAAACATTTAATGAGACTTAAGGGTGAAGTAGGGGTAAACAATCTTTTTTTAAATTTATTATCATCATAGTCTTGCTTATATTACCATTGAATTGCATATAACTTTACATTGCTTTTTCAAAAGGGAATACCATACATGTCAGTCAATACCGAGACATTATAATCCCCCCTTCATCATTCAGTATCTTTTCATTGGGGAAAAAACAATCTTAACATTCACAATTTATGTTTCTTCACCAGGCGGCGGATGAGCCTGCCTACCTGACAGTGGGAACTGATGTCAGTGCCAAGTACCGAGGTGCCTTCTGTGAGGCAAAGATTAAGACTGTGAAAAGGCTGGTAAAAGTTAAGGTAAGTTTTATTTATTACTTATTTTTTATGCAGCAGTTTCATTTACTCTGGATTGAAGTGAATTGGGGCAGGGAGAGACTAGAAATGAACATTTCATGTATTGAATCATTGCTATGCAAAAACTTGTTACTACACATCTTATAGGAAAAGAACATTCAGAACTGACAAATAGGGGCCCAGCAGGTAGCATGGTGGTTAAGACACTGAATTCTTACGTGGCAGACTACAGTTTGAGTCCAGACTGGGCAGCTTGAAAATCACAACAAATGAACAAACAGATAAATAAATAAATATATGTATGTTTAAAAAAAGAACTGAAAAATGAAGAACTCAAAAGAGACATTATTCCAAAATATTTCTGTTAAAATACCATGCGATCGATATGCTCTATCATTTTTTTTTTCTGTTTGTGGTAGAATACTAAATTAAGCTATAATCTTTTTTTCTTCTTTCATAATTTTTAGATAGAGACAATTTCAGGGTTAGGGAAAAAAATATGGCGGGAATTATTTTTTCAAGACAGTATTAGTGATTTAGGAGAGGCCAGCAGATGGCATGGTGGTTAAGGCACTGGATTCTCATATGGGCCACCACAGTTCAAGCCCCAGACCTGGTGGCTTGAAAATTATGCCAGATGTGTGTGCGTGTGCGCATGCGTGCCTAGGATCCCAAGAAAATGAAAGAGAAGGCATTGTGTGGTCATCTCCCTCAGGGGGTAATTTCTCACTTTGTCTCTCTTTCTTTCCAGCCAACATATGTATCCTATAGCAAAAAAACTAAAAAACCAAAGATTTAGGA